TGCCTTTTCAGGAAAGGATTATACCAAGGTGGACCGTTCAGCTGCTTATGCTGCTCGTTGGGTGGCAAAATCCCTTGTTAAAGGAGGTCTGTGCAGAAGGGTTCTTGTGCAGGTATATACTTTCTTAAATAATTGGAGTGATTAGAAGTCATGCTAGTGGGAGGGCTTATAGTGCAGTTATTTGTGTTTTTTAAATACCGCTGTATTTGTACAAATGTGTGGGTCTCAATCACTGACTTTTTTATGACATTTGAATCTTTTTAGGTCTCTTATGCTATTGGAGTTTCTCATCCATTGTCTATCTCCATTTTCCATTATGGCACCTCTCAGAAGAGTGAGAGAGAGCTATTAGAGATTGTGAAGAAGAATTTTGACCTCCGCCCTGGGGTCATTGTCAGGTAAAGATGGTAAAGCCTATTGTTAGTGAAAAATGAGGGTGTGGGTGTGTGTATGTATGTGTATATATACATACATATATATATATATATACACAAATATATATATATATATTTGAGGTCTGTTTAAATCCGAGAAGGTGAAGGTGGGTGTGAATGAAGACTCCAAAGTGGGAAACCTTTTAATTCCTAGAACTGTTGGTGTTATCTTCTAAATTGCCTTTAGTAAAGGCTTATATTAAGAAAAATCTAAAATTACAGTGTTCCATGGCTTAGATTAACCACCCTAGAAAAGTCTTTTGCATTTTTGGGCTTTGTGCTCATGTTATCTAAGGATGTCTGTTTTACCTAAAAGAAATTAGTACAGATAAGTGGGGATATTCAAGGCTGCTATAAAGAAAATAAACAGGGCTTGGGCGTGGGACCTTGGTAAGTATGCTGTGATCTCAGATGAGCTTTTTGACATTTGGAATTTATCAGAATAATGACAAATTTTCATATTTGTTGAGCCAAGGATGGAAAAACAAGAACTGTAGTTACTAATAAGGACTGTGCGAGGAGTTTGGACACCAGGGAAGTAACAAACACTTCTGCCACAAACTTTTTTCCTAGCAAGCCCCAGAGAACTGAACTCATTTGCCAGAACTCTTGAAAATGAGTCTTGCTGATTGTTTTGCTTTATTTTTTATTGAATGCTACATATTAAGTTACGGACTTGTATATTCCAGGGATCTGGATCTGAAGAAGCCAATTTATCAGAGGACTGCAGCCTATGGCCACTTTGGTAGGGACAGCTTCCCATGGGAAGTGCCCAAAAAGCTTAAGTATTGAAAGTGTTAGCCTTTTTTCCCCAGACTTGTTGGCGTAGGCTACAGAGAAGCCTTCAAGCTCTGAGGGAAAGGGCCCTTCTTCCTAAATTTTCCTGTCCTCTTTCAGCTCCTGATCAGTTGCAGTCACTCTAGTCAATGACATGAATTTTAGCTTGTGTGGGGGACTGTAAGTCGGTCTTGCTATTCTGTCCCTAGGTGTTTTGTTCACCATTATAATGAATTTAGTGAGCATAGGTGATCCATGTAACTGCCTAGAAACAAACCAACAACACTGTAGTAAATAATGCTTTGAAATTGAACCTTTGTGCCCTATCACCCAACCTTCTAAAATCCTAATTGCATTGACTTTCCCACCAAATGCTGAAAATGTCCTGTAATGTGCACGTAAAGTACTTGTAGTTCCATTATAGCCTCTGTCTGGCAATGCCATAGCCCTGTCAGCATGAATTTGTAATGTCTTGAGCTCTATTAAGAATGTGAAGCCTTCCCTTATCTTCCCTATAACTTGATCCATTTCTAATTATGTAGCTCTTTGTCAGGGAGTGTTCCCTATCCAATCATTCTTGCATGTAACGCAAGTTCCAGTTGGAGCTCTAGCCTGACATTAAAAAAAAAAAAAAAAAGGCAGTTACCATTAAACCATCTCCCTGGTGCTTATGCTCTTAATTGCCATCTCTTAAATAGCACCAAATCAAAATCTCTCCACTTTTCAGCTGTCTTTTGGAGGACGTACGTAATAAGGTTTTTATTTAGTAAACCAATCCTATGCATGGTTTCAGCACTAGCCAAACCACCAACTCCTAGCTCTAGAAAAACAGGCACTTGGCACCCTTGTGATGTCATACAGAGAAGTCACAGGGCAGTACCTGAGGGTCTGTAGGTTGCACACTTTGGTACCAGATAACTTTTTTTTTTTCTTTATAAGAAAGACTGAGTAATCCACACTGCACAATAATTCCTCCCAGGGTTTTAACTTTGTTTTATTTTCAAAACCAGGTCCAATGAGCTTTCTGAACAGCTGGTGTAGCTACAGAGAAACCAGCTTCCTTCAGAGAGCAGTGCTTTTGGCGGGGAGGAGGAAATCCCTTCATACTTGAACATTTTCTAATTGCTTATTTATTGTATTCTGGGGTATGGCGTAAGTACAGAGAAGCCATCACCTCAGATGGCAGCTTTTAAAAGATTTTTTTTTTTTTTTTTTTCCTCAACACCATGATTCCTTTAACAACATGTTTCCAGCATTCCCAGGTAGGCCAAGGTGTCCTACAGAAAAACCTTGGGTTAGACCTACAGGGGGTCTGGCTGGTGTTAACAGAAGGGAGGGCAGAGCTGGTGCGGCTGGCCATGGAGAAAGCTGACTTGGCTGGTGTGGTACAGAGAAGCCAGCTTGTTTACATGCTTATTCCATGACTGCTTGCCCTAAGCAGAAAGTGCCTTTCAGGATCTATTTTTGGAGGTTTATTACGTATGTCTGGTTCTCAATTCCAACAGTTTAATGAAGATCTAAATAAAATGCTAGGTTCTACCTTAATTGTGTCCATTATTCTTTGGTTTGAATATGACCTGAGAACATACTCCTTATCCCTGAATAATTGTAATCCTTCCCATGGTTCAGGGAAATCCCCTCAAACCCCTTCATCCAGGACTGCAGGCATTTTAATAGGTTTGTAAATCTAGTCCTAGCACTAAGAAAAACCTCCCAAGATCTCACCTGTCTAGCATTGCCTTTTTTGGCTGATGCAGTGGCCAAAATCTGTATGTCCTTAATGTGTAGGAGCCACTCAACTGTGGTAACATTTTAAAATTGTCCAAGATCAAGGACATAGAAAAACAAAGGGGGATGGTAACATTTTAGTCTTGAGAATTTAAGCCCATTACTTCTCATCTTTCCAATTTGGGGGGGGTTTGAGTTTATTAGGCCTGAAGTATTAGTCCCTTTATTATAAACCGGTGTTAAGGGCTGCAAGTTACAGGTTCACTATGTGGCACAGTAGGCAGAATTTGAGCAGCGAGGGGCCAGCTAGAATAAGTGCACTAAAGTGAAAAGTTGAGTATAGAATTACAGTGAAACTATTACAAATTTCTAAGACCCTTATTTCAAATTTGTGGCAGTTTGCAGAGCTTTACAACAGAACTCCAAGCATCCCTTTTCGCTAGGAGCTAAGAGTAAAGACCAGAGCCACTTGGCACAGGTTTACACTCAGCATGTATGCAATCATGGTGGTTCAACTTCTTGACCTATAAATGTGAAACCCAAAGTATGCCTGACTGCACCTATTTAGAGGCTTAAATATAATTGGGAGGGGAGGCAAGGTTCAGTCCTAGCATTGTTGAAAGTCAAAAAGCTTAGATGCCAGTGCACTGCTGTCAAGACCAGTAACCATGCTGGCCAAATAAGGGGCACAGGGATACACTGGATGCTTATAGGCTTGTGGGATAACACTAGAGAAGTTAAGGCTAGGTTCAGTATTTGCCTCTACCTAACACGGGAGAAAGTTACTAAAAAATGAAGATGAAGAAATAGTAACCCGCCCAGGGAGTAAAGCAGAAGCAAAGATGCAAAATGGGGTGATGGTGATTGTAAATGGTTGAAAGTCAACCCATGAATATGGTGTGGGAGGAAAGATCAGATGTGTAGGTTAATAGGAAATCTACTGGACTTTGTACAAAGTTATAAAGGAACAACTTGGTTAGGGACAAAGCCAAAAGTTGGGAGTAGAATGAAGTAGAACAGTTTGGGGAGACAGCAGCATCCTTGCCTATATTACAGCTACTGTTGAGTCCCTTCCCCAAATAGAATTCCTTACCACACAATGGGCAGGGGGTGGGGCGTTTGCCAGGGAAGAGAAGATAGCTGAATTTAAAAAGGACATTGCACTAAGGTACATCGTGTCACTGAGATCTGCAAGACTACTGAAAACCAGTGTTTCCCCACACTTCTTACAAAGTGATCAAGATACCCTGTGGCACAGTTCTTGCTAGCTAACCCATACCATGCCTTAGAGGAGAGGTCCCACCTGATCTCAGTGGGATGCCCTTATTCAGGCCCAACCTGCACAACTGTATCTGCTCTGGTCTATCTCCAACTAGAACACAGAGGTAGTAGAGATGAATAGATCGAAGAGGTAGAATTGATGACTTGAAATGTGAGAAAAAAGGATGAATCCAGACTGAGGATTCAGGTGGCTTGGTAATAAAAATGCAGTTGCCATTCACTGATACAGGAGGAGGTCTGAGTTAGGGGTGAGCATAAGTTGTTTAGGAGAGTTTGAAAGAGGGCCGCCTGGGTGGCTTAGTCGGTTAAGCGTCCGACTTTCGCTTAGGTCATGATCTTGCGGTTCGTGGGTTCGAGCCCCGCGTCGGGCTCTATGCTGACTGCCAGCTCAGAGCCTGGAGCCTGTTTCAGTCTGACTCCCTCTCTCTCTGACCCTCCCCTGCTCACACTGTCTCTCTCTCTCTCCTAGAAATAAATAAAACATTTAAAAAAAAAAAAAAAAAAGAGTTTGAAAGATTTGTGGGCTATCCAGATGGAGCTTGTTAGATATATAAATCAAGGGCACAGGAAAGAAATTTAAGCAGCAGCATCCCCAGAAGCCAGTGGAGAGGACATCATCATCCTAAGTGTGTACAGTGAGAAGGCAACTGCCTAGGAAAGACCCCCGGAAACCACTGTCCAAGGAAGTGTGGTGGGGTGGGGCATGGAAACAAAGCCTGAAACAGGGATGCAATCCTTTATCAAAGTTACTGGGACTGCCAATATACTGCCATGACAGTCTTTGCTGTGAAACCATGAGCACCCAGAGCAGGGGCATTTTTATTTTCCTTTTTCTCTATGCATTCTTATTTCTAAGCCCAATGCCAAGCTTTTGAGTTTTCAAGGAATTGAGGTGCCACCTGACTTAGCCTGTACTTTGAAGCCTACAAAATAACCGCAAACATGCCCTAATCTCACAGTTTGGCTAATTCTCTTTACGTCGCTTTCTGCTCACAAAAGGCTAGAATAATGCTAAATAGTAAACCTATTATGAGAGAGCTCGTGCCAATCATCTAAATTTCCTTATTTAACTTGGTCCTACCTATTCTCATAGCTGGTACTGAAAAACTTAACTGGCTATAATAGGAACAATGAAGGAACCACAACAGTAGGGAAGAGAAAATTACTCTGCATTTAGAACCTGATCACCATACTAATCTTACCTGTAATTAACAAGACAAGTTTTAAGCTAACACTATTTCATAATTATTGTCTGTGATTCTGCGAATTACAAGAGTCAGGGTATAGGACCTGAAGTTGAGCAGAGGAGATTCAAACCATCAGTGTCTCTTTTGAGGGTTGTCTTTGAAATTATATTATCTCTGAGCCTTACTTTCTCCAGCTGTAAAATAGGGAGCTAATGGTCACTAAGAGCTAAATGCAATAATGAAGGCACCATGTTTCACACAGTACCTAGCATATAACAAGCACTTGAGAATAGTTCAGCATTATTGTTATCATGGCACATAAATCTCTTTCCCCCAAGGACCTGGTCCCTATAAACTTGACTCTTAGCCCTTGATCCTAGAATGCTTTTAAACCCCTCCTAGCCCCTCAACCTGGAATTGATAAGTCTTATCCTTGCTTTACTTTCTTGGCTCCTCTAAGATATCCTCTCCAAATTTAAAAGAACTATGAAGAAAAATATATAAAATATCAGTTTCTTCACATTTCCAGTGCATAGGTTGGTGGTCCTATGACTGGCTGTTCCCACATCTGTACCCACCATCTGCCCCCCCTCAGAACTCTGAGTGCACAGGGTCAGAATTTGGCTCAGGAGGATTAGAATTTGAAGAATCTGTGTTTGAATGACTTGACTCTCCAACTGGCTCAAAGGGTCGCAAGTTTGCATAAGTCACCTCTTGGGCCAGCTGTTCCAGGGAAGGGCGGCCTAATACCAGATTTCGAAGTGAGATACAAGTCATCAGGAAGCTGAAAAAGAGGGAAAAGACCACCCAGTCCAAACTCCTGTTTCTACATAGGAATTCCTGCTGAACCCCTTGTGGCCACCTGGTCCCACCTTCTCTCCCCCCAGTGACCCACCCATCCCAGCTAGAAGCGCACACTACTCCTTATATGGTCCAGTAAAGGATTCCAGAGTGAGGCTGGAATAACCCACAGGGAGGCTGGTGGTGAGCTGAGGCAAGACAAGACAGCAGGCCATCAGACACAGATCATTTAGGCTTCCATTACATCAGGGAGAGAAGAATGGAGAGGGAAAAAGATTTACTACTAGATTGTCCTTTCTCGGGATAGTCCCTCCCGTTACCTTCACCAGAGAAAAGTTACCCAACTTGTAAACATCTGATGGCAATGACCATGTTGTCAGTATAACTCACCTGCGGCGAAAGATATAGAGCTTCCGTAGCAAGAAGCGGAAGAGCCGCTCATGGAAAGGGGTATTTCTCCGGCGTTCAAGCTCTTGGAGCCTTCGCTGGCGTCTAAGAAAAGTCTGAACCAGAGGTGTTGGCTCAGGGCCCCCTTTCACTTCCCCTTCCAGCAGAGGTTGCAGTTCTGGAGGTAGAGGCCCCATTTCTGCCCAGAAGATGGCAAGAAGAGGAATCACTGAGATCATTCTTTCAGAATTCTCCTTTCACCAGCCAGAAACTTCAAGTTCACTCTTTAATGGCTAGAGCCTCATTCATAACTTTGACTTGTAACCAGGTGCTTTCTTAGCCCAACTCTTCATATACTCACCAGTTCCATTCTCTACCTTCTCCTTTAGTTCTTGCAGATATGCCAGGTCTTGTTCCAGTGCAAGCTCTGTAGTGTTGACATAGATGTACATGTAGCAGGAAGGACTGGGTGACGTCGTATACACCTTATGGTACTCACCAGCAGGCAACTGACAAGGGACATGGACATATTTCACTCTCTAACCTTTCCCAGGCGGCCTATGGGCATCCTCCACTCCCCACCCCAATCCAGCCCCCCCCCCCCCCCCCGTCTTCTCATTGTGTTTTGGAGTCCAAAGGAACTGACTTCTAGGATCTTGGATGAACTCTTCACAGCCCTGGGGGCCCCTGCTTTTTGAGCCCCCACTTTGGCATCTATAGTATATTAATTCCGCTCATCTAAACTTCTCTGCCATTGTTAATTCCAGCAAAATACCTGCATTTTTTCTCCCTCCTGCAGAGTCTGATTCTTTTGTTCTGCCACCAGCTCCACAATCACCTCCCCCTGCAGCAGCTGAATGCTAGTGTTGCCCAGGTCTTCACTCACAAAATTCTCCAGGTGCAGCCCTGCCAGGGGCAACAAAGTTCCCCAGCTCACCCCGTGGAAGGTGAAATCATTCCCTTTACCACTACCATCCTTCAGGTCTCAAGAGCATTCCGCCCGTCAGCAATGTCCCTCCCCTCTCCATCACATGCAGTGTCCCCGGCCAACGAAGCCACAGGAAAACCAGCAGGGGTTCTTTGCTTTCCTCCATACCAGGGAAATCTGCAATGAAAACCACCTCAGTGTGGTTGTCCAGGCTGCTCTTGATTTCCTGTAACTTGGTCCTCCAGGGAGACAGGTCCATTAGCAGTGGCTGCAGCCAAGGTGTACGCTGGAAGGGGGACCAGGCGGCCTGCACGATGTCCACACGAGGGTCAAAAATCCTTAGGGAAGAAAACCATGTTCTAAAGAGACCACAGCACCCATCCACCAGAATGTCTGATTCTGTTCCTTCATCACTGTTTCCAGATAGAGGGAACGAGTTTTCCAATTAGAAGAAATGGCTTATGTCTGCATATTATTGCCAGTCTAGGGCAGAGAGAGAAGCAGAAAGAGATTCTGGAGCACTGGGAAGAATGGGGGTTAGTGGCCACCTGAGGAGAATTGTGTTACCAGCCTCTAAAAAAAAAAGAAAACAAAACAAAGCAAAAAAAATCCAGGTCAGTTACCTTTTCTTCTGGTTGATGGTGCCCCCTGCTGGAAGCAATCAGCTATGCCCACAACCAGGTCAACAGGGACATGCACCAGAGGACAGATAGCCTTTCAAGCAAGACACCACTGGGGAGCATGGACTATTCATCTTGGCAAGAGGAGTGGGACTTCATTTTTCCCCCTTCTCTGTTCCCCTTGCCCACCTCTGCTGGAAGCGGTCATTGATGGAGACCCAAATATCAAAGTAGATCTGGGGCTCAGTGACATTGTACTTGGGAAGCAGTCGGCTCAGGCAAGTAGCGTATTGCTTCAGCATGTCTGCGTGATCCTTCCATCGCCGGCTCTGTGTGAATACCTGCCCCAAATCCCCACGTTAGTCCCACCTCATCATTATCAGCCTCCCAGATAGGTCATGCACTGCCAAGGTCACTAAGAGAGCCCTGTCTGGTGCCTGTTTTGACCAGGAAAAAAAAAATCCTGAACGTGTCTCTGGGAAAGAATTTTTTAATGCTGGGCTTGTTACACTTACCTTTCCTACATCTCATTTCAATTCAAAGGACATGAATGACACTGCCCTATTTGAACTTACACTAAAGAAGGGTCATTCTGGCTCCTGGGGACAGAGTGGGCAGAGTGGACTCGAGTTTATTTTATATTTACATTTAGGACCAAATCAGACCCCATGCTCAAGGGAGCTCTGCAGAGCAGTAAGTTGTTCGCATCAGACACCTCACCCCAGGGTTAAGGTAGCCCAGCTCGCCAGTGCGGCCATCACGGTAGGTGATCTTCACGTGCTGGTGGGAGCGTGAGTGGACCATCATGTCCCAGGAGTAGCCATACAGCCCATTCGTCCAGTTGTTATAGCCCTGAAAAAGCAGGGCGGAGGCGATCAGTCCAACAGGACTCATCCTAACCCCATTCTGACCCCACCCAGCTCCACACTTCCCTAACGCTGTGACCCCCGCCACTTCCCAACCCAAGCCCCAGCCCACACCTACCTGGGTGAGGAAATGAGAATAGGGCAGGAAGAGCTGCTCCAGGAGGTAGAGCAGGGTGAAGGCGGCACCCAGCTGATGGCGCAGCCCTGGCTTCTGGCCACTTTTGGCTCGGTTCCTCTTATACACACAGGACACACTGGGCTGCGGGGCGGCCTTGAGGGGCAGCAGTTCTTGCAGCCTTTCGGGGAAGTGAGACACTAGCTTCCGGGGCCACTCAGGGGAGCAGAAGAGAGGGCTGCTGGCGAGCATGACGTACGGGAACATACCTAGGAATGCAGGGAGAAAATAAGCTTTTCAGGAGTTTGCTTGCAGGGATCGTGGGCGATCCCCTCACCACCGTCCTTTAGGAAGCCTCTTCCAGGAATTCCACTTGTGATGAAAGAAGTTCTTAACTAGAGGATTCTTACTTCCCTGAGATTCCTTCCTACACAACACACTAGCTGAGCCCAGAGGCCCCAGTCCTCTCCTCCTGCTTACCGCCATTTTCCAGGGACTACATCTGGCTCAGTTTAACTCCACTTCCCATCACCACCTCCCACTCCCGAACAACGTGTCCAGCTAGTCCCTTCCCGCAAACCGGTGGCTTCCCATCTCCTACCAGGCCACAGGTACTGACCGATGCTGAAAAGCTGGGAATTCATGCAGTGGAAGTAGGACACAAAAAGGAGGCCAATGGACCTTGAGGCATCAAAGAAGAGCAGGAAGCCAGCTGAGAGGTCGAGGAGCAGTCCACACCAGTGCACCACTAGCAGGCTAGTCATCTCCTCGGACAGTACTAGCCTGTAGACACCAGGGACAAAGGTCAGGCACCAGCCTATCAGAGAACCCAGCATTCACAACACAATCACAGCAAATGCACCTCCGCCACCCTGTCCTTGCCAAAGGATGTACCGTAGCAGGCGGGGAGAACTCTGCACAAACACCCTATGGTAGACTTTCCAACCCTTTCCATTTCCACACCTTTAGGTGTTCGATTTTTTTCAACACGCCCCACGTAATAAGGGCAGATTTCACAAAGCAAATTTGATTGAGAAGTGAGTGTATTTTGGGGAGTAAGTTCTTTCTTTTTAATGTTTATTTTTGAGAGAGAAAGAGGGAGGGAGGGAGGGAAGGAGGGAGGGAGAAAGAGATAAAGAGAGAATGAGTAGGGTAGGGGCAGAGAGAGGGAGACACAGAATCCAAAGCAGGCTCCAGGCTCTGAGCTGTCAGCACAGAGCTTGACACGGGGCTTGAACCTATGAACTGTAAGATCATGATATGAGCCCAAGTCTGATGCTTAACTGACCGCGCCACCCAGGAGCCCTGGGAGTAGACTCTTCACGGAGTTTATAAATGAGAAGACACTAGGGCGCCTGTCTCACTTGGTTAAGAGCCCAACTTTGCTGGGGCGCCTGGGTGGCTCAGTTGGTTAAGTGTCTGACTTCGGCTCAGGTCATGATCCCAGGTCGTGGGTTCAAGCCCCACATTGAGCTGTCCTGACAACTCAGAGCCTGGAGCCTGCTTCAGATTCTGTGTCTCCCTCTCTCTCTCTCTGCCCCTCCCCTGCTCATGTTCTGTCTCTATCAAAAATAAACATTAAAAATTTTTTTAAATTAAAAAAAAATAGTCTGACTTTGGCTCAGGTCATGGTCTTGTGGTTCATGGTTCCAGCCCTACATAGAGCTCTAGTGCAGAGCCTGCTTCTGATTCTCTGTCTCCTTCTCTCTGCCCCTCCTCCCTAGCTCATTCTCTCAGTCAGAAAATAAACATTTAAAAAGGAAGGGAGGGAGGAGGGAGGGAAAGAAAAGAAATTTTAAAAGGTGAATGCCTGACTAGGGCACCTGGGTGGCTCAGTGGATTAAATCATCCAACTTTTGATTTCAGCTCAGGTCATGATCCCACAGTTTGTGAGTTCAAGCCCTGCACTGCGTTCCACATTGAAAGTGCACAGCCTGTCTGGGATTTTTCTCTCCCTTCGTCTCTTTCCGCCCCTCCTGTGTGTGCGCTCACTCTCTCTCTCAAAATAAATAAATAAACTCAAGAAATAAAAAGTATAAGTAAAAGGTTAATGCCTAATATAATAAAATCAAACTTTTGGAACCGAGAAAGAACAGAGAAGAGAGAAAACAAAGCAAAACACAAGGCAAGAAAAAACAGGAGGAAAGGAGAAATCAAGAGAGGCAAACCTGTGTTTTCTAAGGAGTTGGCAACAGTGACTTTGTCAGCACAGGGACGCTGACTGTCCATCTACAGACACTGGCTGAGGAGTCCCGGCGGCAGCACAAGGCCCCACGCATGGCAGCTGCCAGGAGCGTGGACTCAGTCACCAAGTCACTTCATTCTGACTTTCCTCTTCGTTTAGTTTTTTTCCCTTTGTTCCTGCCCATATCATAGGTCTCCCAGGGGTCAGTAGGCCTAGATCTTGTGGTATCACTGACTCTGCCTTCAGCTCAATGGGAAGATGAGTGGCCAGAGGAGAGCATGTGGCAAATTCAGGCAAAGCATTACTGTAGACCTGGGGGAGGGGAGTCACCCGCTGTGTACCTGTGCCTCAAAGAAAACTCTGGCCTGACTGCCACTCACTTGAAGGGACTGAAGAGCCAGTGCCGGGACAGGTACTCCATGGAATAGCCTTCAACCCAGTCTGCGTCCAGCTTTTTCACACCCGCAATGAAGTACACAATGAAGATCTGCAAACACAAAATGCAAAACAAACATTCAAACAAAAAAAAGAACCTTGTTTTCTACAGACGACTGGCAGTAACACAAGTTCTGATCTGAATTCAGGGGCCTAAGGAAGATTAGATCCATTCATTCATCTGCAATATTCACTCATCCAGCAAGTATTTACTGACATTCCACCAATGCCAGGCACAGTATTAGGTACCAAAGAAAGTCACGAAGCATATCTCTCTCGTGAGGATGTTAATCTAGCAGGGATGAAGCTCTATTCTTTCCATGACAAGGGGAGAGAACCCATAGACAAGGGGACTAAAACAACAGGAGAGGCAGGCTAGCTTTCCAGCAAAAGGAAACAAGGGCAGACGGAGGGAGGCAGAGTACAGTGCGGTCTGGCAGCAGGCTGGCCACGCTGACCGTGACTATCAAAGAGCACCTCCCTCTGTCCTCCAGTCCCGTACCTGGCCCCGCAGCACAGCATAGTTCCAAAGGGGCACATGGGCATTCCGCTTACGGGCATTCAGCAGGCCGTCCACAGACCTACCCCAAGGAAGCAAGGAGTAAGGAGAGCTTCTTAGTCCAGCACATTTCCACCTTTCTTTCTAAATGTGATAACCTATCTAGCCCAGGATGCCTCCGCATATCCTCTAGGGTCCTCCAGGCTATTCTGAGGCTCTTTAGAATTATATGAGCGAATTTAACAGTGAGTAAGTCATAACAGAAATGTTACTAGTGAGTTATAACAACAAAGAGGTCAGTGTTTACCATTAGTCAGTTAGTAAATTAGTTTGTCCTGTTGGAACAAATCAGGGAAAGGACCACAGTGCTAGAACATGACTCAATTTGAAAAAGTACCAATTTGAGAAGAGTGTTTGAAGAGCTAAAGGTATATGTAAATATATACTGCATTTAAGAAAAAAAAAATTCCAAAATCCAAGAGAAACTGACATTTCGTAGACCTAGATGCCAGGGTCTAGGGCTGGAGGGTACCTGCTAACAGCCTGCCTTGGGTGCGGTACCCAAGATACTAAGACTAGATGTATTCTAGGGAGGCAGAGGCAAAGCGGGTTTTCGAGACAATGAATGAGCAGCGAAGATGGGAAAGGGGCAGTTTACTCTGGCGGTCTACTCTTGTGGTTTACTCTTGCACTGCAGTCTGTAGTTAACGAGACCTGGATTCTCACTTGTGCCTCTTAGCCTGGTGGGTGACCTCAGACCAATCCTTTACTTCCCTCTGCTTTAGTTTCCTCATCTATAAATAGAACAGCACTATGGACCTCATGGCATTGTAACGAGGAAAAATCCCTCAGGAAGGGATAGGAATTTTTTCGAGTTGTGTAAAAATTATAAAAATGAAACTTTTCAAGAGTATTCTGTGAAAACTGCCTCTTAATTTTTTTTTAACTGCTTCTTAATTTTATATGATCGGAGCTGGCTATTTTGAATGGATTTAAAGGTTTACCAAGTGGGTGTCCGTATATTAACAAAGAAAAATTAATGGCTGATAAATCACTAACAAATTCAATACTTGAAATTCTTTCCCCCTATACCCATCCTCCTGATGCTTCATATTTGCTTTCGCTTAATGGGGAGGATCCCTTGAGGTCATCCACCCGGCCACCCTGTCTCCAAATCCCTTCGCCGCCTCCCCTGGAAGATGGGTCACCTAAGCCAGAGGTGGGGAGGGCTGCCTCCTCCGAGGACAGCACTGCTGAGCAGCCTGGTGGGCCCTCTCCTTCTGATATGACTCTGTCTCACAGCAACTGCTACTCTAGGCTCTAACTCCGACCCCCTGGGCTCACATAGAGAAAGTCTGCTCCCTCTTCCACATGACCACCCTCGAGGTGTCTGAAAACATCTATGTCTGGCTTTAGTCTTCTCTTCTTCTAAGAGGATTACAGGAAATGGATAGATCAAGGCACCTGGGGAGATATGGAAAGAGTGAAGGGTTGGGAACGGAGCCCTTTTGCTTTTTGTCATCCCAAGTGCCCCAACTCACCGATCCTTCCCCCTCCCGAATTCATCCGAATCAAAGTGTGACCCTGTAACCAACCATGCAAAAAGCATGGTTGAAAATATGCTTGCTGGGGCAAATTCTAGGACCTCACTGGGCCCCCATCACTGGTAACCATCCTGACCCAGCCAACCCTTTCCCCTTGCCCCTAGACTCATACCAGTAGTGGTTTGCATCCGTGAATGTCAGCTGAAAGGCCAACAAACCATACAGATAGGAGTGGTTATTCCACGACGTCTTGTCCAGGAGAAACACATACCAGTATGGCAGCAGGAACAACACGCAGCTTAGCCGGTAGCACAGGCCCAGCATCATGCCCAGCGCCCCTGGGGTTTGTGGAGGAGAGGATTAAGAGGTCAAAGGGTCACCACAGGCCCAGCTTCCCTAGGACAGGCTGTGGGCGGGATCAAGAAGTCATAAGACATTTTATCATTGGGTAAAACTAAATGAGAATTAGATGTTCCTTTAATATTTTAAAAAAGACTTATGGGGTCACAGCTCAGATGACACACAGGTCAGCAAGATGAAATCATGAATCGCAGCAGAAGTGAAATAATGAATCCAAGACTTGGGTCATTCACCAGCATCCTTTGTATTTCTTTGTTTTAGGTAGGTCACGTAACACTCCCATCTCTCGCACACTTTCCCTCACCCAGAAACATGACGGTATAGACAAGATACATCCAGTCAAGTGGTAGTGGCTGCAGGCCATCCAGCAAGGGGAAGCGGCACACGTCCAGCCCATCCAGATATCTTCGGTCCAGGGAGCTGAGCCCCCGCTCCTGGGGAATGTCCAACACCATCATCAGCCCTGAGAAGGTAGTCGAGGAGGAGCGGTTAGGCCTCAGCAAAGGAGGCGGTGCAATATACTGGAATACAGCGGAATGCACCCAGCTCTGGGGTCAGACTTTGTGCCTAACCTGGCTCTGCCACTTATTCATTCATTCAACAATAATTACTGAGCGCTGACTCCGTGCTAGGCATGATGCTGGTTATGTGCTCTCAGGTGGCCGCTGTCCCTCACAGCTGATGCCTCATCCCCTATTTGAGAAAGGGGCTCATCTTTCACAGGCTTACAAAGAGAACTAAGTAAACGTACAAAACGCTATAAACGCTGTTCAGGTTTTGATCATTTAAAGTCTGTCCTACGAGGCACAGAAAGTGTCCTAAGGTGCTGCTTCTCAACCTTTTCCACTTCCTAGCACACCCAGGACACAGTACTTGGCTTACACACTAAGCAAACAGAAGTGGCTACTTGGGTCAGGAGGCCAGTTCCAGTTTAGACAGGGTTTCTCAACCTCGGGACAATCACATTTTAGGCTGGTTAATTATTTGATGGGAGGAGCGCCATCCTCCTAAGTACACACTTAGTACCAGTAGCCAACTACTTCCTCTTCTCCCAAGTTGTGACCAATAAAAATATCTACAGACATTGCCAAAGGTCCCCTGGACAGCAAAACTGCCACCAGTTGAGAATCGCTGGGCTAAGGGGATGGATATCTCAGCACATCTGTAACCCATTCCAAGCACTCGTGTTGTGGCCTGTGTTAGGAAACTCCGGATTCGGGAGTCACAGCCAAATGTCCACCCTGTCACCTAGCCATTTCTCTGAGGTCTAGTCCTTAGTATAGTTACTGGGTAACTTCATGCCACTAGCAAAATGGGTCTCTGTTCCTCTGCCTCTATATTTCCTACGACCTCATATCAAAGCATTTCTGGCCTCCAAACCCTAATCAGAGGAGACAAAGCTGGATTTGATCCTAAACTCCACAAAGTTCTCTTCCTGGATATCAGTATCGTCAGCTCTGAGGAAAAGGGAGGCAAATAACTAAGTAAGCATGGAAGAAACAACACAAAAGAGGATTGTTATTCTCTCACCCAGCACCACACGGGCCCCTCCCAGAAACCCGACTTACCAAAGAGAAAACGGAAGACAGCCAGGCTGGCAGGATCTGTTGGTCGATTCAGCAGGGTCACCAGCCTCCCCCAGCTGGAAACATCTGTCCACTCAAAACCCAAGAGTTTCCCCATTCTGCTGCCCTGCCTGGGCCCTGAAGTCTGTGCAGCCTTGTCTTTCTGTACTTTATCTGCAGACAACAGAGAAAGTGTGTGTGCAGGTGTGGGGATGGAAGTGTTTTAGGATCAGCTCCTCCCCAAATCATAGAAATCATAGCCCTAACAGCCCTAGGGTTTCTGCCCACCAGGTTCACCCAAAGATTCCTAAGTACTCGGAACACCCTTGCAGTGCAGCCCCTCCTTCTGGATCCTCCAATGCCCCCGAACCTCTCGCGTCCCGAGTGTCATTATCAACCCGAATCCTCGGAGTACAATCGCCCCTTCCTAACAGAGGTCCCCTTTCCGGGGTCCCACAGGACAGTGCCACCGCCCCCGCCCCTCTGACACCAGCGCCCCTCTCTCTGCGCCGCAGGGGAGGCCTCTGAGCCTACGTGAGTCCGACGGGGCCCGCGCGGAGCCGGCAGTCACCGCCATGGCTGCAAGGAAATAAGACGGCCACAGCCTCCGCGCGGGAGCAGGGAGCGTCCCGACAGATCACTTCCCCGGGGCCCGCCTCCCCGACACATCAGCACGCGCGCGGCCGGCCGCAAAGCGCCGGGACTGTCGTGGAGCGCTTTGGCCGGCTGCGCCGGCTCCCTGCTTGGCGGCAAAGGGAGGGGCGAGGACCCCTGGTGCCGGCGACTCGGGCCCTCGGCGGGCCTCGCCCTATCCGCTGACTGAGGAAGAGCGAGGATGCCCCAGACCCGCCTCGCTTAAGCCGCCAGGCCTGTCTCGCCCCCGAAGCGTTCCGAAGCCCCTCGATGCTTTCAACCTTAAGATGTCTCGGAGTTCTGGCAACTTCCCTGGGCTCCTCCCTCGCCCATTCTGTGTCTCGAGGTCGTGGTGTCCCTGCGGTGCTCTCAGACATGAGCGATGCGGGTGCAAATGTCAGACTGCTCCCCAGAGATGTTACCTCTGAGTTGAGGACACACCTGGAAAGGGCTGTCCCGGCATGGGGAGAGGGTGCGAGTTACTTTATTCTCTCTTCCAGTAGGGATTAAAGGGACCAGAGGTTTGAAATCAACTGCAGAGGGGACGTAGACTAGGGGCAGTGCGTAGACAGAGTGTGATCGATCGGTCAGGGAGGGTTCCTAGAGAGGTGAGGCTTGACCAGCACTGTAATACCTATTTTCTGCGCTGGGATTGACCAACTGCATCACTGGTAGGCATCCTAGAATAGCGGTTCTCACATGGTTTTGGTCTCAGGACACTTTCACCCGGCTGCACGTGATCGAGAACCCTAAAGAGCTATTATTTATGTGGGTTTTATTTTTCCACATTTACCATGTTGGAAATGTACACTGTGAAATGTTTAAAATACGTATTGATTCACTTAAAAAACATTAATAAACCCATTATATGTTTACATAAGTAACATTTTAAAAATGTTTATTTATGTATGAGAGAGAGGGAGAAAGATGTAAATCAGGCATCCTAAGGACCACAGAGAGACCCATGTGGGGGCTGGAACTCACAAACTGTGATATCATGACCTGAGCCGAAATCAGATGCTTAACCGACTGAACCACCCAGGTACCCCTATAGAAATCAAATTTTTATGCAAAAAGTATATTTTCCACAAAAAAATTTCACTAGTAGTACTGTATTGCTTTACATGCAAATCTCTTAAATGTCTGCCTTAATTGGAAACAGCTAGATTCTCATATCTGCATTTGATCTGGTGTTGAATGAAGTGTATGAAGGAAATCTGGCCTCGTAGATAACTTACTTGGAAAAGGAAAATCATTTTAATGACCTTTTTAGATACTTGTGGGTCTCCACCTTTGATACCACCCCTACACTTAAAACTGGTAGTTTTTTTTAAAGGTTAGTTGGATGTGGAATCTGAAATCAGATCAATAAACTTTTATGCTTTGTTACATAAAATTGCTAGTATATCTAATACTTTGAGTGGTCCTTTTACAAAATCATGCATTTAGTCATTTGGAGAACACTGGTTCACTGGGTTATGCTGCTCTTCCAAATGCAGAGTCTCTTAAATGTTGGGAAGCTGCCAAGCTCACAGTGGCAGATACAAGTTTTCTAAAATTTTAATTTTCACTTGAAAGCTCAAATTTTATCATTGGCAATAAATTCTGTCTATTGTTTCTTTCAAGGAACAGTCACACTCTTTTCATTTTTTAAAAAGTATCTGCCAGATATGCCAGTTTGAATACCCATAGTCTGTCCAACATCCTCAAGTAAAATGTTTCCTTTAAAAAAAAAAAAAAGAAAGAAAGAAAGAAAGTGGGGCGCCGGGGTGGCTCAGTCAGTTAAGCTAAGCATCTGACTTTGGCTCAGGTCATGATCTCACGGTTCGTGCGTTTAAGCCCCGCGTTAGGCTCTGTGCTGACAGCTAGCTCAGAGCCTGGAGCCTGTTTCAGATTCCTTGTTTCTCTCTCTCTCTGACCCTCCCCTGCTCACGCTGTCTCTCTCTGTCTCTCAGGAATAAATAAAACATTTTTAAAAAAAGATTCCATTAAAAAAAAGAAAGAAAAGGGGCGCCTGGGTGGCTCAGTCAGTTAAGTGTCCCACTCTTGATCTGGTTAAGCGTCCCACTCTTGATCTCAGCTCAGGTCATGATCTCCCGGGGGCGCCTGGGTGGCTCAGTCGGTTAAGCGTCCGACTGCAGCTTTGGTCATGATCTCACGGTTCATGGGTTCGAGCCCCGCGTCGGGGTCTGTGCTGACAGCTCAGAGCCTGGAGCTTGACTTCGGATTCTGTGTCTCCCTCTCTCTCTGACCCTCCCCTGCTCACGCTGTCTCTCCCTCCCTCTCTCTCTCTCTCAGAAATAAACAAAACATTAAAAAAATATTTGAAAAAAAAAAAAAAGTCATGATCTCCCAATTCGTGAGATTGAGCCCTGCATCGGGCTCTGTGCTGACAGTGTGGAGCCTGCTTGGGGTTCTCTTCTTTCCTCCCTCTCTCTCTGCCTCTCCCCCATGCATGCTTGCTCTCTCTCTCTCTCTCCGAAAATAAATAAGCATGAAAAAAATTTTTTTAAGAAAGAAAAAAACCCAAAGATACTCAACATCTTGTTTTATTAGGGAATTGCAAATTAAAACAAGATAGCTATTAGAACGGCTGAAATCCAAAGCACCACCACCAACTAATGCTGGCAAAGATGTAGAGCAACAGGAGCTCTGCTTCACTGCTGGTAGGAATGCAACATGGCACAGCCCCTTTGGAAAACAGTGGGGAAGTTTCTTACAAAACTAAACATGCTCTTACCATGCGATCCAGCCATTGTACTCCTTGGCTTTACCCAAATGAACTGAAAAATTATGTCCACACAAAAGCTGCGCACAAGTGTAAGCAGCATTATGCATAATTGCCCAAACTTGGAAGGAACCAAGATGTCCTTCAATAGGTGAATGGAGAAACAAACTGGCACATCCAAACAATGCAATATTCAGTGATACAATGAGACGAGCTATCAAGCCACAAAAGGACCCGGGGAACCTTAAATCCATATCCCTAAGTGAGAGAAACCAATCTGAAAAGGCTATATCGGTATGCCCCAAACTGATAACCCTGGAAAAAGCAAGACTGGTTTTAAGGCAAAAGATCAGTGGTTGCCAGGAACTGGGGAGAGGGAGGGAGGGATGAAGGTAGAGCACAGGTGGTTTCTAGAGAAGTGAAACTACTCTGTATGATACTGTAATGGTATCATGGCACATAGGTGTCATTATACATTTGTCAAAACCCATAGAATGTGAACCTTAATTAAACTATGGACTTCGTTAATAATAACGTATCGATATTAGCTCATCAGTTGTAACAAATATACTATACTAATGCAAGATGTTAATAATGGGAGAAAAATGGGAGAGGGCTAAGTGTTGTATGGGAGCTGTCTGTACTACTCAAAAAAAAAATTCTTTTAATTCTAAAACGTTGCTTCAGCTCACATTTTAACTACACAAGTGGTGTATGGGTTCAAGCCCCACACTGGGGTCCATGCTGACAGTGTGGAGCCTGCTTGGGATTCTCTCTCTCCCTCTTTCTCTGCCCTTCCCCTGCTTGTGTGCACACACTCTCTCTCTCTCAAAATAAACTTCAAAAAATGTGTACTGCTTCATTAGGGATGTCCTTAATTGAAAATGCAAGTGCACAGCAGGGAGTAATCCAATGACTACTACTACTACAATTTGGTGCCTTATTCCTGCTAAGTTGCCAACAGTTTTATTACCCATGGTTGCTTTTGCATCATCAGTGCAAATTGCTTTTGTATCATCAGTGCAAATGGCAGCACAGTCAAAAGGACAAATAATGTATCCATATTATTATAGAGGTAGTTTTGTCCTTGAAGACCCCAGGGGTCCACACATCTGGACTGTGTGTTGAGAATCATTTTCCTAAAAGGAAGGAATGTCAGGAGTAGATGTAAAAGTAGGGATTACTAGGGACAGATGTGTTTGGCAGGTAGAATCACTGGGCTAACTTTTCCTACTGCTGAGGGTCTGGCCCACTTCTAGGCCATCCTAACAGATAAGGTAGGCCAAGTCACTCTAGAAGCCATTGATCTATTTAGGGGATGAATCTCTTAATCTGCTGTCAGCCCCAGTCCAGATGAATTCAGTGTGGGTTGGAAAGGCTGGGCTAGCTCTTCTACTTAAATGGTTCCATTAAATTCAGCATTTATGGTCTATTATGGGACAAGAACTGTACAGGTTACAGAGAAAGACACAAATTAGTAAGTTGTGGCCTCTGTCCTCTTCCTTGAAAGACAAGAAAACATAATAATAAAAGAATATAAAAAAAATAAAAGAATATAGAGATAATAGGATAATAATAGAATATATAAAATTCTGTATATTTTTGAAAGTTTATTTATTTTGAGAGAGAGAGCACATGCACACCTGTGTGGGGTGGGGCAGGGACAGGGAGAGAGAGAATCCCAAGCAGGCTCCAAGCTCTTAGCACAGAGCCCCATGTGGGCTTGATCCCACGAACCATGAGATCATGACATGAGCCCAAAATCAAGAATCAGACGCTTAACATACTGAGCCACCCAGGCGCCCCTTTAAAGTCCTAAGTATTAGGGGTGCCTGGGTGGCTCAGTCGGTTAAGTGTCTGACTTCAGCTCAAGTCATGATCTCATGGTCCGTGGACTCAAGCCCCACATCAGGTTCTGTGCTGACAGCTCAGAGCCTGAAGCCCATTTCAGATTCTATGTCTCCCTCTCTCTCTGCGCCTCCCTTGTTCGCACTCTGTCTCTCTCTGTCTCAAAAATAAAATAAAACATTAAATAAATAAATAAATAAATAAATAAAGTCCTAAGTATTAAATGAGGTGTCAAATGCTGTGGGAGCACTGAGGAGGAACTGAATTATGACTGGAGAACTCAGGAAAGTTTCTGAAAACTTGAGCTGGACTTTGAAGGATGAGTATAATTTTGAAAGGAGAAAGGGAAATCAAAACTTCTTGGTAGTCTTGCATGAATGAAGAACATTCTGGATAAGAGAATTACAGCTAATAAATGAGCTGTGGTAACTCAAAACCTC